AAGCATTGATTTTCCAAACGGTAGAGAAGCACCAGAAATTCTCTTGGTCATCATTTCCTAAAATAGGCTCTGTGAAAACACTGGCCCTAGAGCCCTTACAGATGGGCAGGTAAGAGAACCACAAGACATGTAGTTTTTCTCTCCACTCGTCTCAAATCTTCCTCATCTATTCACAATGCAAATGTGAAAATCCTGATTTAACAAACTTATTTTTTTCTTAAATGTTATTTTACATAGTATTTCTTCACTTTATCAAAGATTTGTAAATGAATATATATGTAAAAAAATACATATGTTCTCTAGATTTTGGTCCTCAAATATTAGGATTCAACCAAATCTCATTAGTGACATGTCTTATTATCTCAAATAACATTTCTCTGTACATTTCATGTATTTAACTCAATAAATCAAGTATAACAATATGTGTTAAATCCACAGACTTGCCTATAATAAATATAAAACCTTATATTAATTGACCAATGATTTACTAATATATAATATATCCAAGGTTATAGTCAGATAATGAATTGCTATTATCTAAGCCACCTCAAAATTTATTTAAGTGCTATGAAAGAGTATTTGTTGAACTATTCAGCAAACATAGATGGTGTGAGAGATGTATAGAATGCAGCTCATTTTTGTACCATGAATAGTTTGAAATTTTGGCAAAAACTGAGTTTTATGTGAATTATTAGAGAACAATGCTTACAATTCATAAATAAATACGAAGTATTATTATATAAAATAGAAAGTATAATACAGTTTCATAGGAAATCAATATCTGTCACAGAAACTTCAATCTTTACCAATTGCTCTGAATCACTCTTACTAATATAATAGTAGCTAATTATTTTGAGGCTCTGCTATTCTTAGTCACTCATATTGGACTGCTCCATGGCATGATTAAAACTACAGTTTCCCTTGATACAATGAGAACTTTCTTCAAAGCCACAGTAATCTTCATGTTAATATAGCTTGGAATTTCAAGGGCATACCTGATATAACAATGTGTTGCCATAAACATTTCTGACATTTATTCATTGTAGTTTCTTCAAAAGCAAGTTAATATTTCAAAAATAAATTAATAGTAACATCATTACTCAGCTCAATCATGAAATATGTTAATGTGTCAGATATTCTTAATGCATCAGGATTAGCTGGGGACTGCTGTAGCTGAAGTGAAAAAGAATTTTAAAAAGCAGTATTCCATGGTGAATAATTTAACCATATGGTCATTTGGCTTTAACTTAATTCAGCAATGGATGTTAGGAATTTTATGGTGTGTCTGGAGTAGATATACTACTTCTAAGAAGGACATTTAAAGAAAAGGAAATATAAATAGTATGATGAAAATTTCATTTATTATATTTCTCTGAAATTTTACCATGGCCTTTTCAAATTCTCTAAGGAAGCATACTTCCTTTGGTATATTATGAATGACTTATCTAATTCAGGCTAAATCCAAGAGAACTGACATTGTTAATGGGTAGGAATTATGTTTTGGATGAACTTGGATGTCAGAAATTATCAGGGAAATTTCTCACAATTAAACTTTACTATACCTAGATACCAGAAAGACAGAAAGAAAGAATGAGAATGGGAGTTATTGGAGTACAAACCTTCCCTGTACTAATGAAATAATGTCTTAAAATTCCCTCTACAGGTGCATTTTAGAAAAACCGAACTAGTATTCCATATATCTGTGTGTATGTGTGCGTGTGTGTATCTGCATATTTGTATTTGAGTGTGTGTGTGTTCCTTAAGGGTCGGCAATTCTGTCTTCCACAAGGTAAGAGTTTTGTTCATGAAACAGAATTCTCTTTACCTAGTTGCCCATATTATATCAATACACACACTAGTAGGTAGTAGAAAAGGAAGCGTGAACTTGCCATGTGCACACCTGAAAATAAATGTAGATCGTAATTAGTGTGAAGGCTAGTGAAGTTCCATGAGTAGGCTTCGGTAAAAATTAGGCGGAAACTTTTAGATTCCATTAACTTCTTGTGTTTAAAAGGTAGTAAAGTTTAATGGTGTGCCTTTGTATGAGATATATCATGACTCTTAGCATCTGCATCTTCATTTATAAAATAGGAATAATAATTCCTGACTTATGTTCTTCATGGTGTTGTGGCAAGAAGTGATGGTAATTGAAAATACCGCTGTAAGTATGAAGTTTTATTTTTCCTTCTGTTTTTGTCTCTGACTGTGTTTGTCACCAAAAAACTGCTAGGCCTGCATGAGATAGTATGTAGTAATAAATTGAAGCAAAGAAAATAAATAAAAGAGAAAAATGGGATTACTACCATTTATAGAAAACATGAAATGCATTTTTAAACTGACACTTACAAATGAAAAGCAATGCCATGAATGAAAATTCTGTGCAGGCATTAATGTTCTGTGGTCCAAGATAAAGAAAAATACCACCTTGTGTGTTGTAACCTTGTACAGAATTCTGAACAGCTTAAAAGTATCACAGGGAGGGTGAATGTTTTACTGATATGATTGGAAAATAAAAGCATCAGATTTAAAAAATTAATATCATTATAATACTTTTAATTGCAGCAATCTGATACATTGTTAGTGGAGTCCAGCAAGCCAATTGACAGGGATCAATGTTAATTTTAGGTAAAATAGTTTGCTTTTTCTTAAAAACTATTCTGAAACCACAATTTAGTAGCTTTCTCTTGTCCTCCTTTTAATTCATTTCATGTTATATCTTCCTGCTGGCGTTTATTTTCACTGTCTCTGCTGTCAGATAAGTGTTTCCCCCCTAATTGTCACCGATGTCACTCTATTCTCAAGGTGACACTGCAGTAGCATCTCTGTCAGCTAAATTCACACAACCATTCTCTCTGTTGGCCAGTACACTGTCTGACGTTTCTGATATCTTGGTCCCAATTAAGAATTTGTGCTCAAAATTAACTTTAGAGCACTGCATTCAGGTTTTAATAAGGAGAGGAGTGAATTAGAATTGCTTGAGGAGGAAGAAAAACCTAAACATGAATGCGTGGTGCTTTCTTTATACCCCCAACTTCTTAATTCTATGTCTTATTGACACGGCATCTGTTTTGTGCTCTTTCCTCTTATGCTCTTGGGTTAATTTTACTCTTTCCTTTGATGTTCATGGTTAAAGGCAATTAGTATCCAGGTGGTGAGAAGGAAGAGAGAAAAAAGTGATTTACGAATAAATGTCACCCCTTAGGGACAAAGAACAGTCACTGTATTTGTATCACAGAGACACAGGTTCTTTTGCTATTTCAAGTGTAATATTCTTTTTGCCATGGTTGTTACTCTGGTGTAAATCATACTTTGGCTTAATCCTGGCTCTCCCACATTCTGATGTCATGATCCTAACCAAGATGCTTTTAACCTTTTAAACATGTTTTCTTATAAATTAGCTAGCAATATATCTCATGGGAGTTTACATCATATTATTTATTTACCCTTTCATTCATTCATTCTCTTCTATAACATTTCTGTGTGTGTGGTGTGAGGGTGTGTTGTTTTCCTACATGTAACAGTAACAATAACAATATTAAGCACAGCAGTAATAGTAACATAACTTCGGGTTTCCCAGACCAATTCCAATTGGGAGGGGGTCTTCCCACACATAATCCCAAGCAATTCTCAGACACCAGCAGAGTGTTGAAGAACTCAACTCAATTATGATGTGATCTGCCGGGAGACAGCACCAGATTCCCCAGGTTAAGGGCTCTGTCCTACAAGACTGGCCTCCACCCCCCACTCCAGATGCCAGTCTCAAGCCCCAGGCTATTATCTGTGTTTCTGACCTATGGGCTACAGACTGGAGGTTCCCACGACCTCCCCCTTGGGTTTTATTAATTTGTTAGAGTGGCTCACAGAACTCAGGAAAACTCTTAATTTACTAGTTTAATAAAGGATACAAGTTAGCAGGCAGATGAAAAGAGCCACAGGGCAGTGTCCCAAATAAAGGAATTTCTGTCCTGGTGGAGCCTGGGGCCTGGCTTGGTGACGGCACGTGGAGGCGTTCTGGCTCCCCACGCATAGAAGCTCTCTCCGAATGGGAGGCAGGATCCAAGAGAGAAGAGAGTGCTAAGCTCTGCTCATGGGTTTTGTGAGAGCTTCATTACATAGTCATGATTGACTAAATGATTAGCTATTGGCTGATTCAACCTCCAGGCACCGCCCTTGGTCCAAAAGTCTCTCATCACCATGACAAAGCACCCATTTACCTTTAAGACTTTTCAGTGTTTTCAGGAACTATGGATGAAGACCTGGGAAATATATATCTGGTCACATGACTGACCAACTATGTATTTTTTATGATTCATTTTATCACATTGGCAAACTCCAAGACTAAAGGGCTATATTTGTTTGTTTAACTTTATGTTCCTAAAGCCTATTACTGCGCACAGAATATAGTGAATAATAAATATTTGAAAAACTGCCTGAAAGTTGGAGAAGTATTTGTGCCCCAAAAGTGATAAATAAATGCTAATATGTAAGAAATTGAATGGTCTTTTAAATAGGAATATTTTAGCTACTAGTATAAATTTCTGTATGCCATGATTAAATCCTACTATTTGGCAATAAAATATATGTAACATTTGAAAACATAGGAGGGTTGACTTGAACCAAGCAATAGTTTGACTGGTAAAACACCAAATGAAAAAAAAAACCAACTCAGGAAATGATCTGTACATTTCTTTAAAAACATTTTTTAAATTCATCTGAGTGTGAATGGTAGATATCATCTATTGATTTGGAGGGGGGGGACCTGCTTTATCTCTCCTTCATTTAAACATCTCAAATCCCCATTGAAAAATGGCTGGGAACAGTACAGTACTCCCACTTTCCTAGAACCAATTTTCCCCAACACGGGCTTGCCAACATCTCATCGTTTACGGAGAATGCTTCGGATCTCCAGGCTGGGTCTAAAGGAAAAAAAATCAGATCACATCTCTTTGGCCATGGTGATTAAAACAAGCTCTTACATATTATATTACCATGTTATAGAAAGAGTTTCATGGTAAGCATTTATAAATCACACCACGTACGGGTTTCCCAGGGTGAGGCTTATCCATCGCACTCCCAATGTGCTGATCCCCGGGATTTCCCCATTTGTGGGAAACTTGACTATATAATTGTGGTAGTGGGGGACACTGCATTTGAACTTTCCCCTGTAATAAGTAAATGCTGGGATGAATTCTACTTGATCATGACATATTATTTTTGTATATGTTGTTGGATTCAAATAGCTAAAATTTTGCTAAGAATTTTTTGTATCCATATTCATACTGGATATTACTCCATATTTTTGTTTTTTTGCAATTTTTTGTCTTGTTTGGTATCAGGATAATGCTAGTTTCATAAAATGAGTTGGGTATTATCTGCTCCTCTCCAACATTCTGGAAGCATTTTGTATCATTGACATTATTTCTTCCTTAAATGTTTCATAGAATTCAATTTCTTTTCAATTTCCTTATTATAGGGCTATTCAAATCAGCTAAGCCTTCTTGAGTGAATTTTGGTAGTTTGCATCTTATAAGGGACTTGTCCATTACATCTATTTTTTAATTTATTGTCATAAATTCGTTCACAGTATCCCTCATCTTCTTAATTTCTGTAGAATCTACAGTAATATTGTCTCTTCCATTGCTGTTATTGGCAATGTGTGTTTTTCTTTCTGTTTTTTTTTTCCTGATCGGTCTGACTAGAGATGTATCGATGTTATTGATACCAAAGAAACAGTTTTAGTCTCAGTTTTTTAAAATTAATTTTGTCTGTTTTATATTTAACTTCTTTGATTTTTATTTATTTTCATCCATTTTTGTTGGGTTTAATTTGTTTTTATTTACATGGTTTCTGAATATGGAGCTGCCCTCATCATTTGAGACTTATTCTCTAACCTGGGTGTTTCATGCTATAAATTTTCCTTTAGCTTCTGCTTTACTGGTTTCAAACAAATATTGATATGTTGTGTTTTCATTCAATTAGAAATGTTATAAAATTTTCTTTGACTTACTTTTCAACCCATGAGATATTTTAAAAGTTTGCTATTTAACTTTCCTAACATAGGGATATATAGAATTCCCTGGACTTCTCAGTGCTCTTGTAAAGAGCTCTAGCCTTCTGAAACTCTTCACATCCTCTGAGGATTAGAGCTGTAGTCTTTCATCCAGTTAAATGCTCTGATCCACAAAGATAATAAAACTCAGCTACTCAAAAGATAACTGGTTATATTCTTGATAGACACCTAGGTTAGCTCAGATATTAGAGTGATCGTCCTACTATTTACATTTCAAAGAAAAATGAAGCCCGGGAACCTGAAGACATCTCTAAATTGTAAAAATCACAGACACTGAGGGTTTATCTGGCCCCTGGAAAGACATATTACCATTACATATCAATAGAGAAAAACTTTTTCTTTCCTTCTCAAACGGAAAGTGTTTTGAGAATATTTGTATATCTTTTTTATTATTGATTTCTAATTTAATTTGACTATGGTCAAAGTAAATGCTTTGTATATATTGATTCTTTTTACATTTATTGAGACTTGTTTTATGGCCCATAAAGTCTATTAAAAATAAAACGTATTAAGTAAATTTCCCAAGAACAACTTGAAAATAATATGTATTATGTTGTTGTTTAATGGATTATTCAAAAAAGTCAAAAGCTCTAATTGGTTAATAGCACTCATCTCTTAATATATGTATTTTTTTATTGATTTTCTACTACCTACTTGATTTAACAATTCATGAGAGAGGGTTATTTAAACCCAAGTTTAATTGTTTGTTTATGTCTCCTTAAAATGTCAGATTTTTCTTCATATATTTTTAAGTTCTATTTCTTATTAGATGCACTAACTTTTTAAGATTTTTATACTCTCTCGATGAATTACTCCTTTATCATTACGAACCATCATTTTTGTTCCTGGCAATATTTTTGCTCTAAAGTTTTCTTTATGTTATATTGATATATCTACCCTCCACCCCTTCTTTTAAACAGCGTTAGCCAGTTAAAAATTTTCCCATCCTTTCACCTTTAATCAGTTTGTGTTTCTACATATAAGGTGATTTTCTTACAGGGAAGCATATATCTACTTCTTGCTTTTCATGCAATTGAACAAACTCTGTTTTTCAATTTGGAGTTATTTAGACCATTTATCTACCATCTGGCTATGTTTTTTAATGTATCCCATCTTTCCTTTTTTCCTTTATTCCATTTTTTTTTTTTTACTTCTTTGGGACTGATTATTTTTTATTTCATTATAATTCCATTTTTGACATTAGTTACGACTGTTTTCATTAATTTTATATCATATTCTACCTTCTAGCTATATCAAACCATTTAGCATTTAGTAGAAGAAACTTTCATTTCTCCCCTCCTGACCTTTCCTCTCTTGTTGTCATGTATCTTATGTTTACATGTTCTAAAAAACTATGTTATTATTTCTGTTTAAATGATCTATTTAAAGTAATTTGCAAATAAAAAATATACCACATAGTTATCATTCTAATTCTCTTAATTCCTTTTTATAGATTTGTATTTTCATTTGATTTCATTTTTCTTCTGCTAGTGGGGATTGCTGGTGAAGAATATCCTCAGTTCTATTTTACCTTTATTTTCAAGAGATATTTTTGCTGGTAAAGAATCCTAGATTGAAAGTTAATTTTTTATCTTTCAGTGCTTCAAAGACATTGTTGCTCCATTCTCTTTTGTTTACATTGTGCTCAGTGAGAAATCTGATGTCATCTTTACCTTTATGCCTCTATATATACCATACCCTTTTCTCTCGGATTGTTTTTAAGTCATTCTTTTTATCACTTGTTTCAAACACTTTGATTATGCTGTAATTGTCTTTGCATCTCTTGTACTTGAGGTACACTGAGGTCTCAGATATCTAGACTTATAGTTTTCATTAAAATTGGAAAAATTTTGGTCATGATTTATTCAGAAACTTTTTTCTCTAGCTCTTACACTTTCCTCCAGAGATACCGATCACACATGTATTAGAGTTTTTAAAAGCTGTTTCATGAATCAGTGCTATTCTGTTTAGCTGGAATTTTTTTTAAGTCTATATTTGTGTGTGGTTAGTTTTTGATACCTTTTATTATTTTGGGTATGAATTCGGTAGCCTTTATTTTTATTAAAATGAATAATCTGTCAATTCCATCTAGTGTATTTTTTATCTCAGCGTACTTATAATTTCTAGAAATTATATTTGGCTCTTCTTTTTATATATTGCATGTTCCTACATGACATTTTCAGTCTTTCCTCTATATATTTTAAGATATGGGATGAAGTTATAACAATTAATACCTTTTTAAATTCTAAACTGTCATTTCTTGGTCATTGTGATTGATTTTTTTTCAAACTATGTGGATCACATTTTCCTGCTGCTTGGCATGAATGGTACATTTTATTGGATACCAGACATTAATTTTATGTTTTTGGATACAGGATATTTGTTTCCATAATATATTTTGGAATTCAGTTAATTAGAAAGTGATCAATACTTGTGGATCTTCCTTTTTAAGTTTGTTAGGTAGGAAATCACCGGTGCTTGAGATGAACTATTTTTCACTACTGAGGTAATACTCATTTAGTACTCCACTCAATGCTCCATGAATTAAGAAGTTTTCCATTCTCACTGGTGAAAAGAGACACTGTTCTGAGTTCTGTGTGAGCCCCTATGTGATATTTTTTTATTGTTCTTTCCATGGCCTTAGGTAGTTTTCTCATATGTATCTACTGATCCATAACCTTATGTGTACTGGAAGGGGACCCCTTTAGTTGTCCGTAGTTCTTGCTCTTTACAGCACTATCCTCTCTAGCGCTCTATCCTGCAAACTTCAGTGGGTCCTCAAATCCATGTCTTCAAGGAGTTAAGAAAAACAGCTCCGCTTTAGTGCCTCTTCTCTACACCACAGTTTGAAAACATTCTCAAAGAAGTTAGTTGGTGTAAGTGTAGCAGTATAGCTCTGGGGGGAACGGTGCTCCTAGCCCAGAGTGAATCCTCCTATGAAACTGGTGAAACCAAAATAAGTCAAGGGAAAGGGTAGGTAAGGAGAAAGCATTTTTTATTGCTCACAGCTTGCTTGAATTTGATAGCCAGGCTTGGCACCATGTATCTCCTCCAGCAGCCGCGCATGGCCTGCACCCTCAGCATGCTCTCTACTTCTCCCGCCTATACTTTCTGGGAGGAACTCCATTGGCAGGTCCTTGGTGACTGGCAGATGCCAGACCAATTACATACCAGGAATAGAGGGGAGGAGAGAATGGTTGTTTTCCCTCCACCCCCAGCCCCAGGATTGATGGGAGGCTCTGTAGTGCTATATGCCTATTGATATGTAAATGAAGTAAGGCTAGGTGGGAAATTCTGGAAATTATGCCATTTACCCCGAAGGGGCTTAACTCATGAATTTTCCGTTTGGCAACGTAATAGTTGCTTAGAGCTGCCATAATGTACCACAAACTGGATAGCTTAAAACAACAGAATTATTTTGGCTCAGAGAGGAATTGAAATAAGGCAGTTCAGTATTCAAAGGTCCTGGAAAAAATACACAGTATGCCTGAAGGGGCCAAATGGGAAGATCAAAGCAGAATGCAGACCCTGGGAAGCAGGATCTGGTGCACATGCCTTTGTCAGGTTCTGTGAGTGGACTGCTTTGGGGTTCCCAGCTAAGGCCAGGTTGATCAATTCAAATAAAAAGACCAGGTTTTGAGTAAGTTACATGGGGATTTTATCTAAGGGATACATAACAGGAAGAAGCTGGGAGACAGGGGAGACTGTTAATCACAAGGACTGCTGGGTAAGTCATATCAAGAACTTACATTTGTTTATGACTGTCAGCTGTTATCCAGGGCATGTGCTCTCATAAGGGAACTAGTATCAGTTTAAGGTCACTGTAAGCTGTTTGTTTAAACAGAATACATGTCAGGGCAGAAATACCATGAAGTAGCTTAGCTAAAGTCTTGACAGGTGGAAATCCTTGACCTTTCTTGACTTGTATATCCATCACTGCAATCTCTACCATCATCATCCCATGGCTATCTCTTCCTTGTCCATCTTTTCCTTGTGTGTCTCCATCTCCAAAGGATATCATTCTTAAAAGGATACCAGGCACAATAATTGTCCACCCTCTAGATCCCCCAAATTAATGATTTTCCAATGTGAGAA